TGGAGGGGAAATAGTCACTGTGAGAATTTTACGAAGTAAATGCAATTCACAGTGAATAACCTGAAGGAACTGAGAAGGCGCTGTGACTGGGACATCTGCGCAGACAGTGATCAGGGTGAGTTGCGAGGAACAGGAAGGCAGCAGAGAGAATGAGGCCATTCCCAGCAGGCAGGAGTGAGTGGGCGCAAAGCCCCGGCTGGGGTGAGACTGCAGACAGGACTGCAAGTTAATGGAAGGCCCTGGAGGGCAGTGTATGGTCTGATCTGAGTCATCGTTTGTACAGCCTCACAGGCCACTGTTGGAAACCACAACAGAAGGGGCGAAAGTCGACACAGAAGCCAGCTGGGCTGTCACTGAGGTCTAAGTGAAAAAGGACACAACTTCGGGCCTGGTGGCAGGAGCAGGAACAGCAAGAAGACAAGACTTAGCTTGCTGGGAAGAGATGTGGGGAAAGCATGGGGTGAGGGAGTACCCCGAGACACTATTAGGAACCAGACAGGTGCTGTGGCCTTTCCCTGACACAGAAGACAATGGATTTGGTGGAAATTTCCAAAGTTCTGCTCTCGTCATGCTAAACTAAAGATTCCTGTTAATGAGGTGTCAGACAAGGCCAGAGCTCTGAAGACAGGTCTAGGGATAAGGATTTGGACCTTTTAGCATGTAGGAAACTAAATTTAAGTGGACAGAATTAAAGTAAAATATGGTCCAGGCCCAAATGCTTATGTAACTCCCAACATCTGCAGTAGGAGTGAGGAGAGCAGGACATAGATGACCACAGGAGGTGCAGAGTGAAATGCACACGCTGCAGGCCTCGCAGTCATATCAGAGCAGGTCAGGGGACGGGCTGGCAGCCTTGCTGCTGCTGCTGGGCAGAGGGACTGCTGGCTGGGGCAGCGTGCTCACTGGTGACCTGACCGAGCCATGTCCACAGAGCCCAAGCCAGATGCGGGGGTGAAGCGTAAGTGGCAGGGAGAGGAACTCTGTTCTAACTCCACATAATTAGCAATCGCCAAGAAATCCCAGCCTTGTGGCTGCATGGCCACAACTGCCCAGGCATTAGTCTGATGACAGCTCCCCTGAAAGCTTTCCTGGCTGGCTGAGGAGCCGCACAGCACCTCATCAGGCCTGGGTGCCCACCCCAGTGACTTTCTCCAGTCATGGAGTACCGCCCGTCACCTAATCACTGCAGGAGGACCCAGTCTTCTTGGTGCTTCTTGGTTCACAAAGCCACACATCCCAGCTGCCAGGGTACCAGCACTCAGTGCTTCCGGGTCCTGCTCAGGCATCCGCCACCCAGCTTATTGATGGGCCTCTTTGATTTACCATATCACATGAAACCACCCACATCCCTGTAGACCCTCCACTGCTTGAAGCTGTTTCAGTTAAAAAATAAATAAATAAATACCTTCCTGGCTGTGGTTGTGGAAGGAAGATTCATAGGCTTTTCTGTGACGGAGGGACTGGAAACTTGGCCTGGGGTCCCATAACTGGACTGCACGTGGACACTGGGAGCTGGGTTCGCATGGTTTCAGTATAACCCGGCATTGTTTTGCTTTGCTTGATGGTCCAGGTTTAAATTTATGAGTGCCTAAACCTCCAGGAAAGGGAAGAACAAGGAAGGAAGGGACTGCACAGTGCTGGGCATCCTAGAAGATGCTGTGTGATGCACTGCTGCAGGAGAGGGAGATGGACATACGGAGTTCTCAGTTTTGCTCTCTGATCTAGATGATGCCTAAGAAAATGCTCATTTTGGCCTTCGTACGTCCACAGCTGCATAAATCCTTTCTAACTGAAGCTCAAGTACATCTGAATTCAAAACTAGCAGCAACACAGGGTGTGGCTAGTCAAGGCTTCAGAGTCACTCGGATTGGCAGGCTGTGGTAGTTTTCTCCAAGTCAGCCTGTGAGACAGAGGAGAGCTACAGACTAGGACTGTAGTGGGTGGCTGCACATGGTTCTGCACATGCTGTTAGGTCCAGGGAGTCCAGGAGCACAGGGAGCGCACCTCAGAGGCCGGGGAAACGCTTTTGCCTCACCAGGTTACCAATTTTTGCCTGCCAGTGAGTCACTTGGGGGACCTCATAAACTATAGTCTCTGAGTCTCTCACCTGCTGAATCAGGATCCAGGCAAACAGCCTGATAATACTCTTTTAAACAAGTGCTCTAGACAACTGCTCTCCACTAAGAATATAATTTGAACCACAAATGCAAGTCACATATATAAAGTTTTCTAAATTCCACACTTACTGTTTTAGATGTGAAATTAATAGGGCTAAGTGTATAGCTGAGTGGTGAAGTATTTGTCTAACATGCTTGAAGCTGCCCTGCACCAACCTGATTGTAATTCTAATAGCACATTTAACCCAGTATAACATATCGCAGGCCGGGAATGTAACTCAGTGGTAGAGAGCTTGCCTGGATCCATGAGTCCTGGGTTGGGTCACTAGCAGTATAAAAAATATTTTCAAAGGTACTGAGATGTTTTACCCTTGTATTAAAGCCTTAAACTCCAGTGTGCATTTTAACTGGGAGCACATCTCAATGCAGAGTGGCCACCGCAAGCCCCCCAGCAGCATGGCTGGTGGCTGTGTCCTCGACGGGCTGCACAGCTCGGAGGACGCTGTTCCTTCACAGCGTGTGGATGATGCTGTGAGGCAAGTGATTCTGAAGTCACAGCTAACATAGAATCTGCCTGTCAGATGAAAACAAGTAAAATGCATTTTAGGTTTGAGGTGTGACCTTGTCTTTGCAACTTGTGAGAAATCAGTCATGGTTCTTGCCAACCCTTGTCCTCCCCTCTCACACTGAGACCCAAGTATTCTGGGGTGCTGGCTGGGCACGCGGTGGGGGGGAGGGTACTCTGAGCTCCTTGCAGTGGTCCCTGCTGGACTGGGAGGCATCTAAGATCCTGTCCCATCTTTTTTAGAGTGTGCCAGGCCCGGAAAGCTCCCTCCGGCACCCTGAGGGCCTGGTGCTGGGAAGGAAGGCCTTTGTGTTAAGGCCGGGATTTCCACACTCTCGCTGTCTGCAGGGTGTGGATGTGATGGTTCAGCTTTGAGTGTGCTTTTTGTTGTGGATTTCATGAGTTACATTTTTAGTTCTCTTCACACTGTGCTTTTTTCTCTGTACAATCAATTTAGAAAGAAAGAGGACTCAGAGCAATACTGAATGTAGAATGACTCTGTCTCCAGCCAGAGGGTGGGGAGCAGCTCTGGTGCACTTGGCTCTGCCTCAGCTGGAGGGGTGCTGGCGGCTTAGAAGGCTGAGGAAGCCCCTGGTTGGGAGGGAGCCCTATCCGGCACTAGGTTCTCATTTCTGCTAGGAGATGCTGCCACTCTCCGACTGCAGTTGGAAGCGCAGCCCGCTCAGCCGCCTGCTGGCTGCTGCATCCCTCAGGAGGTGGGAGGCGCCCTGGTGGCGGCAGGTAGCCCTGCTCAGCCTCCCTGGGTAGCTCAGGCCCTGGAAGGCACTCAGCAAGGATGCCTGGGCACCACGGGCCTGGAAGACCTTCCCACCTCTATCCTGTCTTGCAAAAGGAGGCCTGGGATTTTATGTTGCAGTTCCCTCTTTCCGTACCCAGTTGGAAGAGCTTGACTTGCCATACAGTCAGAAATGCAAGATTAAACCCGAGAAGCCAGGAAGGGAGACGAGAACATGGTCCAAACCACTGTGCATCTGAAAGGATTACAGAAAGGGCACAGAATTGGAAACTTCCAAGCAAAACAGGAGTAAAGAACAGTCGCTGAATGAACTATTGTTGAGTTGATATTTAGCCTTCTAGTGTAGTGTTACACACTCAGATTTCTAGTTGTTTGTATAAAATGACGTGTATTAGAACTCACCCTTTTCTTTTAGTTGTGAGACACCCATCCACGTCACTGCGTGCCGATCTGCGTTACAGAGGCTTCCTCAGGCAGTCGGGCATTTTATAGCATGGATATACCTTGATGATATACCCTGGCTGTTTTCCATTCTTAGTTTTATTATAACCAAGGCTGAAGGGAATCCAACGATAACTGAAATCTCTGTAGGAACTATGTTCATGTCTTTTCTGCAGAGTCCTAAAAATCTGGTTGCTTAGTCCAGGAAGTGTCCATTCTTTGGTAGTATTTTTCTAAGTATTACCGGATCGTCATAGGAACTAATCATAGGAACTGATTTACACTCTACATTCAGAGCTGTTCCTTCCTTAAATGCTGGTTTCTCAGTAGGTTCCAAGGCAGTAAGTACTTAGCAGCAGCACTAGTTTGGGGTGCAGTGCTGGGGACCCATTGGAGAACCAAACCAATTTACAGTGAGACTGTGCTGTCACGATGCAGGCTGACATCATTTATGTGACACAAGGGAAAATGCTAACTATTGTCACGGTGCCTGGGTCTTATGGGAAGGAGGAAAGCAGTAAGTCTGTGGAACTGGGCTCCAGCAACCGCCCTTCGCTTTCAGTCAGCCTGGAGTCTATAGAAAAGAGCCAGACAAAAGCAGGAGGAATCAAAATGGAAACAAAATTCAAGTACTTCAGTAGGCAGCAAGGCTCTTTGTGAAACAGGTATCATTTCTACTGCTCTCCTTTCCTCTTTGCCTTTTATGTTTTGCCAGGTAGGGTCTTAACTGGTGAGGGCTTGTCCGGGGTAGGAAGCCCAGAGCAGACAGGTTTCTGTTCTTGAATCGTTGAGTGGTTCAGATGGAAACGGGTTTGTAGTCCAGCAGCACTCATGGCCAAGGGCTTACGTACCTGTCATGTTTCCTTGTGACACACACTTAGGACCTCTGAAGGGCTCCTCCTCAAGTAAAGGGCTCTGGCTAGCCTTGGAGGAGGCAGGGCTCAGCGCTCATTCTGGCCCTGCAAACCAGGAGAGCTATGCTGCTTCGGGGCCCTCCTGCTCCTTTCCGTAGCTCTTTGATTTGGCAGCTACACCTGCCTCCTTCCCACAAATGCCAGGGGAGTGGCACCTCCCGGTCACCTCGAGCTACTCACGGCCATGTGCTCTTCCCTTGACACAGAGAAAAGAAGCTGAAGGCCAGAGTTCAAGAGCTTGTGAGCGCCTTGGAAAGACTCACCAAGAGCAGTGAAATCCGGCACCAGCAGTCCGCAGAGTTCGTCAATGATCTGAAGCGTGCCAACAGGTAAGGCCCGGTTCCTCCCCATGCTGCTCGAATGGGTACCACCCACAGGCGCCAGTGAGAGCCTGCTGTGCCTGCTGGATAGTGGGGTGTCCTCACCTGCCCCTCCTCAGAACCGCATCTTACAGGAGGCCGCACAAGAAACCTAAGAAACACTCCGTATTGGGTCCTTTGACCAACAGAAACTAGGGAAGAGCAGATTACTGTAGGCTTTTTTGGTGGCTCTGGAAGCCATACAATACAATGTGTTTAAGCCAATGTTTTCAAAACATAACTAGCTATGAAACTAGTTATTTGATCAACATTTAACAGCCAGTAGAATGCTTCAGGACCCTATACTAAGACAGCAGTCTCAAAATTTTGGGGGTTCAGGACCCCTTTACATTTGTCAAAACTGATCATTGCAAGGAGCTTTCATTCCTGTAATTTGATGTCTTTCACATCAGAAACTAAAACTGAGAAACTTATTAAAAGTTTTTATTCATTTACCAAATCCAAGTTCACTAGATGTACAACACAAATATCATCTTAATGAAAAAGTATTTTCCAGGAACAATTAGAAAAGTGGCACTATTTAACTTTGCACATCTCTAATGTCTGGGTTAAGAGAAGACAGCTGGATTCTCACATCTGCTTTTGCAGTCACCATGTTATTTTGAAGTACGTGAACAGTCAGTTTCCTGCAGATGTGTTAGAAATAAAAAGGTCAGCTGCCCTCAGAAAATGACCTACAGTATATTTGTAGTGTTTGACTTTGGACATTGAAGACTTAGTTTTACTTTATAATCCAGTGAATTTATATTAGGAGTCTGTTATAAATGAAAAGATTTTCAAGGTGGGTATCATGGATACTACAGAAAATTTAAGGTATTTTTGGGAACAAAAGTTGTCTTTGGTTCATTTGACAGCATATATCTACATGATTTGAAAAACTTGTAGAAATTGACTATATTAAAATCGGACTCACGACTGCCTGCTTTCAAGGCAGGCGCTTATGCCGCTGAGGTAAATCCCCAGCTCCAAAAAAAATTTTTTAAAAGAACGAGAGAGCCTCTTTACCCTGATGCAAGTAATGTTATTTCATGGTGACATTCCTGTAACTGACAGTGGCTCTGACAGGAGCAACAAGTGGAGCACAGTTTTAACAAAGAACAACTTCAGGAATTCAGCTATTTTTTTCTTTAGATTGAGTTAGTTTTGGGTGCTAGTTTCACTCCTAGTGAAAGCTTACTAACATGTTTGTGTGACAGCCTACAGCAAGGGGCTAAATTAATCCTTGGGACACTAGCAGGTGACCAGCACTGAATGCCAATATCTTGGCTTTGTGCTTCTTTTCAACACTTGGCTTTCGATGCTTACACAAGAGGCAGAGTGAGCTCTTTTGAGAGCAGCGGTGACTAGACGTGGCTGCCCAGCAGACCAGACGACGTGTCACATGCTGTTTAGGATGACTCTTTACTCTCATTCCTCTCCATTCCCACATAGCAACCTGGTGGCTGCATATGAAAAAGCAAAGAAAAAGCATCAGAACAAGCTGAAGAAGTTGGAGTCTCAGATGATGGCCATGGTGGAAAGACATGAGACCCAAGTGAGAATGCTCAAACAAAGAATAGCTCTGCTAGAGGAAGAGAACTCCAGGCCACACACCAATGAAACTTCACTTTAATCAGCACTCAGGCACCAAAGTTAGACCCTGGAACCACGTTCTAGCAGACCCGTGAAAGAAGGACCCAGAACAAGGACCTGTTGGGAGGAAAAGGAGGCACAAAGGTCAGCAGATGGTAGAGTGCCGTGCCCTCATTTCTAGGCAGAGTTACACTACGCTTTAGCCACGGACTCTGCTCCTCTCCCCTGGCTCATGGACAGCGCACTGTGCGCAGTAGGTCTCGCTCCTGCCTTCCGCAGGCACTGTTTTCCTCCTTCCTGTGTAGCAGTGGGACCCAGTGCATTCGTTTTTATGATTTTCCAGTCAACGTGCTTCTTTTGTAGATAGTGGACTAATCTTCTGGCATCTTTAGTTTTTCTCCTTCCTCTTCCTCCCAAGGAAAACTGAAGCAGAGATCTGTATGTGTCCTAGCATCTAGGACTGCCGATTGCTTGTTCCAGTGAGAATTGGGTTTTCCAGTCCCACATTATCAACTCTTGGCTGTCCTACTGAGGTATCATTGCGAGGCCCTCGGGGAGAATGCGGTAAACCCTGGGCCGGCATGCTGCAGTGGGTCATCACTGAAAGCACTAAATGTTCGCCATTACTGCCTTAGGATGGCACTTTCTCCCACCAGTTACAAGTACAGATGCCAGGGATGTGCTGAACAATCCTGCATTGCAAGAGTAGATGCCCTTCAACCTTTCATTTTAGAAGCAGGGCTGGGAAGGGAGCTCTCTTGATTCTGAGATTTTCCCTTCTCAATGGGCCCAGTAATAGCCACGACTTAAGAGCTGAGAATTATGGCACGTGAAATACAACTAAAATTCTGTTGGACTTTAAGAACTGAGAAGCAGGATTAGCACTTTCCCAGCTCTTGGGCACTACATAATTGCTGCTCTGATGAATCAAAACTCATCCCTGAGTGCAACTGGTGCTCTGGACCTTCTTTTTGTCTTTAAAGGCAAGAAGGTGTGCACTGTCAGACAGGAGACAGTATTGGCAACACGGCTCCCACCTGCTGGAGTACTCAGCTGGGAACCTCAGCTGGGCCCTGAGCTCCTACTGTCAGGAAGGGGTGGGGATTGCTGTTAGGCTTTCTGCTCTCCATACATGGTGATAATTAGCTTATTCTGCTAAAGAGGTTCAGTTTCAGCCAAAGTGCTAACAGGGCGAGGCAGGACCTCAGTGCCCCCAAGTTCGCTCTTGGAGGTCTTCCACCTCATTTTATCAGCCTGTTTCTACTGCAGCCTTTACCACTTTATCCCTTGAGTCTTTCACTTCTGCACTGATAAAATTATAGGACCATTTGCTGGTTTTTTCCTATAGTTCCAAGACTATACAAGTCCCTTATGAGAAATGGGTTCTGATGTCATGAATAGTTCTAAACAGCTCACTACAAGAAAATCTGTCCATGAACTATACATCCAAGTTGGTCTGTTTTCAGAGAGCACAAGAAAATTCCTCAGCCTGTATGCTACAGGGAAAGGAATTCCAGCCTAGAATACGCAGTTCCTCCTTAAAAGCAACAATCCTTCTTTCTGAGGCTAGCACAAAAGCTCAGCTCAAAGGAAAAAAAAGGTGTTTTGAGTCTGTAAGGGCCAGCCTTTGGGTACTTTGGTTGCTTTCATTCTCCTTTAGTTCCTGTAAGTCCTGTTTTTAAAGTCAATTTTCACCCTTTACATGAAGCTGTATTTTACCAAGAGGAACGTTTTAGCCGTAAAGTACATGCAAACAAAGTTTACGAGATGAAATCGATTTTCACTTTTCCCAGCTTGTCCTGGGCAGATTGCGAAGTTCATGGCTTTTGCTTTTGTGACTGAATGAGCTTCAAATGAATAGTTTTCCTTTCCACCAGCCCTGAAAAGTGTGACTGGAGCAGACTAACGTCCTGCGACTGACCTGTGCCTCCTTTCCCTGCTGATCCAAGAACCACTGTGTTAGGCCTGTTAAGTCCTCCAGAGAAGGGGCCTCGGCTCTTCTACCACGGCCCTAGCAGTACTCATCCTGCCAGGCCTTCGTGTCAGTGTAGCGCCCAACACAGTACTTCTGTGTGGTGAAGGTTGCAAACTGTTGCCCAGCAAAAATGTCACTTTTATTAATGTGTATTAAAAAACCTATATAATAGTTTTCACTTTTCAGATACTTCTTAAATAGTCTTTGTTAAGAGGTGAATTGGCAGACACTTGGTTATGCTATGGAAGCTATAGAATTATATGATTAAATGGTATCAGGTGCCTGCATAATTTTGCCTCTTGTAGCACGCTGCTGTACCTGAATTATTCTCTAGGAGCTGATCTCCACTGACATCTCCTCTGGGGGTAAACGATCTTGACTTTTAATTCCAAATTTAATCCTAAATTGACTTCTCCAGTGTCTTTGGTAGTTGCCCCCATTAAGCAGTCATCTCTGTTCAGTCTTTGGTTCCTAGAGAAATCAGCATAGAGCAAAGGGCAGGTTTCACTGTCCCCCAGGACTGGACTTCCCATTGCTGAGTTGAAGCAAAGGAAACCAACTAGGGCAGAAATCACAGGCACGAAATCCTTCCATTCGCAGCTGGAGCGTCATCAGTGTTTGAGCCAGCCAGCTGGATCTGACCAACCCCACCCATGTGTGTCAGCTACCAAACTGCCATAAACATACAGGCAGCAAGACAGATTCCTTTTTGAGACTTACATCACAGGTTACTTACGGTTAAATACGTGATCAGACGGTTGAGGTTGGCCACACTGTCTTTGCCGTGCTCTAGGCCCAGATGTGCACTGCATGTCCACTGTTGCTGGAGGTGACTGTGTCATATTTACTATCTGCTGGCACGTCTAGTTAATATTCATGCTGCCTGAGACTGGAATGTTAGGCTAATAAAAAATTTAAGTGCCAATTAAAATCAGCACTTAATTCTTCCAGATGCATGTAGGACTTCTAAGTCTTCCTCTGAGCCTGCAGCAGTATTTTACAGGGAACTCTAAATTAAAGCACTGATGTTCCCTTCCAAAAAGGCAGTCCCAAGAGCCTAGAGGCTTTGTCCTTAAGCACTTACATTGAGGACAGTGAACATTTCACCACTCTGTGGAAAACCAGAAACTATGTGAAACCTTTCTAGTTACAATGTAAAGATACAACCTTATAAGGGAAAAAGAAATTCTCCATATTTACCTGGACAGGGTTGGGCTGCCTCTGTTGCTGACATGAATTAAATTTCCTGTGGCCTACGGGAATAACACTGCAGTAGTTTCATTTGGACCTTTTCCTTAAAACTCTGAAGAATTTGGAGTATCAGGCTCATGTTTTAAATGAAGCGATGAGAAAGGCATCAAGATATAAAAGAAAATCCAAAATTCTATTCCTGACACCTGAATGTGTCCTTTTCTCCATCAAGCTGTGCATTAGCTGCAGATAAACGGGAGTACGTCGCATGCATTCTGTAAATTCATGCTGAGCTTACAGCTTTCACCCACTTCTAGATGCAGCAATTAGAGCTAGAAAGTACTGAGAAGTGAGGCGACTCTGTGATAGTCAGAATATCTATACTAAACTTCATTAGGGTGCAGCCATAGGGTTGCCAAAGTTTTTTGTGGGGGCGGGCAGTGAGAGCATATGTAACATTTTTGTTTTTCTATAGTATGTGATAGCTTTGTAGAACACTTTGTCATTTGGGGGAAATTGATTATTTTTCTATGTATCCAATGGGATAGCCTATTTTGACAAGGAATGATACAATCACCACCTTTGATTAAGGCTTGCAGACTCACTCTGGAGTTTGTAGAACAGGTATAACTTGATACAAAATAAAAATTATCATTACATAAAGTTGTTTTTGAAGTATATCCATAACTGAACCTTGTGTTTTTCTGTGAGGCTGAGGTTTTCTCCCAACTGTAGCCTTCTGAAGTACCTTCTGTTTCATACACAGAAGTTACTCTCTGTATTCAGTGATAGATGCCTTTGCTGCAGAGAACTTTAGAGTTGGAACCAGAACTATCAGTTCATACAATGCTGGCTGTTTTCACCACAGCATTACTGAACACTCAGTTATTATTAAAATACAAAAGGTGGAAAAGGGTACAGTGGTTTACCATATTTTTGTTTGCTAATGCTTCTGTGGAGGAAGATAGATTCACATGCAGATAACCATTTTTTGGTTTAGTTGTATTTGATTAATTCTACATTACTTGATTTTTCATGTGCACAAGACAAAAAAACAAAAAAATCATTTGGGCCCAGAAACGGCAGTCTGCTATTGGAAACCATGTCCGTGACGAGTAGCGCTTGACCTTTGCAGGGATTCCTCTGCTGATCATCTGGAATACCAGTGGGCAGGACAGCGACTTGCACACAGTACCCCTCCCCCACTCACTCTGGTCCCTGATGAAGCAGTGCTTTCTCTACCATTCACTTCTGCACTGTCTCCAGATTGCCTGTTGTGGAACTCGCAGCATCTACTTAAAGTGCTCATGCCAGGGGGGCCAAGTGAGAGCCCCTAACAGGCTGCTTTTGTTTCAACCTAATACAAAGTTAGAGACATGTCACTTTCCTATTTTGTTTTTAGCTTGTCAAGACTTACTTTGCATGAGATTTAAGTTTCCTATTTGAAAATGTGCTCCTTTTTTTATACCACTTGAATTACTAGAAAATCTGCTTGAATGTACTGTCAGTTGTTAAAGCACGTGTGTCTAAGTTTGCATTTGTCAGTATTGTTCTGCTGTTTGTATTGAAAGTCTCATTTTAAAGTTGCTACTTAACACTGTACTATACTTTGTAATTTTTTTAGATTCTTCATTTACATGCTTTAAATGTTCCCAGAAGCCTTTAGTTTTAGCTGCTGTAAAATAGCTACTCTGTAATTTGATATAGAATTGTTTAAAAAAAAACTCCATTTATTTATACAGAGACATTTATAATATTTTACAAACATTCTTATATTCTGAATAAATATTTCTAATTCTATATTGTACTGTTTTAATTATTAAAGGGTAAGGCTGTCCTATACAATAATTCGTAACCCATGTAAATACCAAACCTGAACTAAACACATTAAATCAAGAGCTGCTGTTGAAATGGAGCTTAAAAAGACAAACTAGCTCAAGCCATGAGCAGGTAAGTCTCATTTATCAACAGTTTTCATTTGACTGCCTTTTCAAACTTGCCACACCTGGGAGGTCACCTCTTGAAGCAGGATAGTACAAGGGAGTCACATGTGACTCGACTGAAGGACGACAAGCAGCTTTGTAACATGGCTATTAGAGAACATTACAGCATCAGTCTTCCACTACAGCAAGGAAACCAAGTACCTCTGATGAAAACAGGCTGGTCCCTAGCCCTGTCCCCTCACGGCTGAGCTCTCCTACCAGAGCGGGAACACAGCACTTCTTTTTCCCCTGGGAGCCAAAGAGAAGCCAGCATTCTATTGGGAAGCCTAGTTAGTACGATTTTAAGAAAAGCTGTTTTATTTTACTTTGTATCTCAGGCTGTCCTCCATAATCCTGTTTTAAAGCAACAATCAAGCTGTCCTTTGAGATAAGAAATATATACCAGTTCTCCATTTCAGACAGACGCTACCTTTAATATTTCTTCCTGTTGTATAAATATAACATGTTTATCATATTCATAGTTTTTATTGGTTCAGAGACAGCAACCAAAATGAGAAATTCAGAAGCCACAGTTACAACAGTAGCAGAAATAAGGTTAAGATGATAATTATAACTACCCAAGCAGCCAGTTTTATTGGTATTGCATTACAAATAGCCTAACTTTAACACAATAAGGTTTTTACAAAAAGCCAATATTTGAGCAACTTTTCATAATTCTATTTTTTAAGAAGAGGTTTTTAGTTTCTAATCTGAAATTATTTACATCAAAAAGCTTACAGAACAAAAGTTTAGAGCACAAAAACTGTTAAGAAATGGAACTTTATTCATCTTTTCAGTGAACAATCTCCAGGTCTTTGGAAGTGTCGTGCTCCTGCAAACATTTAAACGTAACTTTAATTCACAAACATGAGTCACTAGAAATCTTTTATTTATGTTATACCCAAGTACATTACAGTCAGCCCTCACCTCCTTTTATTAATACTGAGGGAAAAAGACAAAGCTATTGTTGAACCACTAAATAATAAACCCAGAAACAAATCTGTCCTAAAGTCTTTAATTCTGGTAACCACAAGGTGAACTCAATGGGTATTCTGGGGTTCGTTTTTAGCTCTGCTTGACAACTAAAAGCAGCAGCAAGAACTTTATTACAACTGCAGACCAAATCACTTAAAGGGGTTTTACTTATATGGTCTTTCTCCAGGTATTAGAATGTCTTTCAAGGTAAAGTAATAAAACACTTCTATAGTATATAAGCAAAATTTAAATGTTAGGTGATGTTACATAAGAAAAATAATAACTGGAGAAATAAAGCTTATAAATTATCAAAATATCACATTCACTCTGAAGTTCCTTCTTTCTCAGTCAATTGTTTCATTTTTCAAATATTTAGCAAAACCTTTTCATCTATTTTTTACCGTCAGCTGTTGTACCTTACAGAAATTAACTCACTTAACACGACCCAGCATAAATATCTACTTTTCAGACTAAAACTTACTCCCCAATTATTTGTGACTACTTCCATAAAGATTAATTTTCACAGTGTAAAAGCCACTTCAGATCTTTTAGAAATAGGCACAGTATCACAGTATTTAAAAGACCAATTACTTTTTTTCCTACTCAAACTAAACTATGCCCTATTTTGGTTAGATGAAATACAATTTTTAAGAGACATTTCACTGAAGCTAGCTAATACATGTATACTTTTATTTGATTAATCACTCTGAAATAAGATGCTTTTGAAGCTTTCTTTAAAGCAACAAACAAAATGAAGTCTGAATTGCACACAGATCTAGGATGAGTCAATATTTAACAAAGATGTTTATTTTAAAAGTACAATAGTTTTAATAAGCAAACAGTTAAAAATATAAAATATACATGTAAATCTCAACAGTTCACGGTTCATTGTCCTTTTGTTACTGAAGAAAAAGTAATATTATAAGTGGAAATGAGATTAGCCATTTTCTGCCCTAACTTTAAGTAAAAAGGAAAATTAAAGTTTTAGACATTTGCATTTTTAACATTTCATAGTTACTTGTACAACATCCAAACACAAACCTAAAGTGAACACAGAGACAGCAGTGCCTGCCCTAGGACAGTAGTGAAGTGCTCAAGTTCTCACAGACGTGCCTTCCGTGCTTTTCTGTCAATGCACAGCATACCAGTGCATGAGAGCCTAAGTCCACTGCTGGTCAAGTTCCAAAAGCAGCACCGAATCTCACACCAAACTGCTGAGGAATAGTCACTACTTTTCTAAATTTCATTCAGTTGAGCATCTTTGCTTTCATTTGCTGCCATTCATAATTTATTCCTAAATATCACAAAGGCATGTGTTAATTTCCTAACCAAATATAGAATTGTGTGCCAATTATTTTCCCAGTCTGTAGCTCTACAGTCGAACTCTGAATTCACTAAATTAAAAGTAAATGGAATTGGGGCCAGGGATTTGGTTCAGCGATGTAAGCACCGACCTGGCAAGCTTGAGGGCATGAGTTCAATCCCTGGCACACACACCCCCCCCACACACACACAAAGTAGATGAAAATGTTACCTTCTACCTCAAAAAGTCCACTATCCTAAGAAGATCCCTCAAAGACCAGCAAATACTGTCCATTTTACTCTAAAACCACACAGTTTTCTCTCTCTTTACAAATCAATTTGCCAGCTACAGGCATTGAGAGAACACAGGTATTCACAAGCCTCCTGTTTGTGGCCCAAGGGTCAAAATAAGGCAACTCACTGCTTGCAAACTCTTGCAAAAAACAAAAAACAAAAAACAAAACAAAACAAAAAAAAAAAAAAAACCAAGTGTTCCCAAAAGGGACAAATCATCAGGAAACCCAAAACAAAACTACAAAAAACCTCCAGGACTTAATAGCTTCTTTCTGGCCAGAAAAAATAAAAAAGGATTAAGAAGCCTTTAAATGTGGTACTCAAAACACTGGTCATTTAAAACAAAACAAAATGAAACAAAGCTATGTGCCTCCTAAATACATATTTAGGGCCTTGACTCTCCTAGTGAAGTACGCCAAGCAGACAAGGGTCATACACAGCCCACAACTGATTTCTGCAATCTTTTTTCTCTGAGCACCCTTAGTAACATCGCTCAGTTAATGCAACATCTTATGAAGATTAGATTTTTGTTGTTTTTTAAGATTGTGCTTTCAAGCTGCTAAAATAGGCCATTTCTTCTGCTAATCACAGAAGACCTGAGGTAAACAAAATCTGGTTACTGGTGATTTCATTAATCTGGGGACCTAGAGTAAACTCCATTTCCTTGTACTTTATGTGGGAGCAGGCACAGTAAGTCCACTCTCCTTTACAACAGGTTTACTCTTCCACAGCTACTGACTGCTATTTGAATAATAAATGCAATCTGTCACAAAGAAAATAACTGATAAGTGAGTCACCACTCAAAACAAATGTGTGGCAGCTGGCTGTGTCTTCCCTGGGCACTTCAGAGAGGCTGGAGTTAGTTCTGTGGCTGTCAGTACAGAAAACCAGGCTCCCAAATGTTGGTCTTCAAAGCGGGAAAGATGACTTCTGATGCACTGGATTGCTTGGCAATCATACCCAGAAAAACAGTCACTTCATTAAGGGCTTGGAAGTATTTGGCAATGACCATATATACTAGGCAATGATCACATTTCTATCAGGTGCATCATACAGCTCAAGTATTGATGTATATTGTAGATTCCTCTTTATACTCTTTGCTCAATAGCTATCTTCTCTTTTCAGAAGGACACTTTTGTTCAAAAACAGTAATTCATCATGATTTTCTGAATCTTCACTCCAGAACACAACTTTCAAAGTGTGAGATGAAGCTTGTGCTGCCCAGCTGCAACCTGCTGCCTTCGGGCCCAGAAGTATAGGCCTCGGCACTCAAAAAGATGCTTAAAGGCCCATCATAAGCTTATTTTCAGAATTTTTGGCAACAATATTAATGCACTTTGAAAATCTTAGGACATAATAAATGAGAAATTCTACCCACACTTCACTAAGCTGTCAGGAATAAGGTTTATCACAACTGCAGTTTTACTAATGTTGCTCCACAGACAGGTATATAAAAGGAAAAGGAGACTTTCAGAAAAATAACGATTTGTTTTTCTTATCACCAATTTAAAGTTACAATAATACATTTGAGATCCCTCCCCAGGCTGGAAGACAAAGTCAAAATCACAAAGACTAAGTGTTAATTAGCATAACTATGATTGTAATATACAAAGGAAATACTGCCTCAGAGACCTCAGAGACTCTAAAGACACAGTGAACGTCAACCAAGACAAAGGCTCTGAGCGAGGAGGTTCACTGGGCCAAGAAAAAATTAAAGGCCAAGAGGCATCACACTAGCAAACACAACTTGGCAAGGACTAATGTTTATAAATAACTTTGCTCTCCTTACTGTAAGTATTGTAAATGTTGGTAACAGAGGCCAGTGGCAGCAGTAAGGGAATAGGAAATGAAACTGACCCTAATCGCATGTGCATTCAGACTTTAACTTTCCTAGAGAACACAGAATGTTGAGTTTTATAAAGGAATTTAAATCCTACAGTGGAAGGATGTCATTCATTTAGATTTGTGTTCTTTTTATTTGACAATACAAAATACTGAAGTCTTCAGACATTAAAAGTACAACCCAGTCTTGTAGCATAAAATCATTATGTATCTCTGTTATCTGATAAGTACCATTTACTGATACTTAATACAAAAATAATGATATTCAAAGATCAAAACAATAAGCACTAACCAAAAACCCTCAGAGCACTGGGAGGCTTTATCCTTTATATAAATATTTATATACTCACAAAACCTGAACTTAATTTTTTAACATCTTTAATCAAATATCACCTTTGTCTATTATGTTCTTAGATCTCTTCACTGCTCATGTCTCAGGAAGGCATCAAATCCTAAAACCATCGAAATAGATTAAATTTTTTTGTCTTTTCTTTCTTTTTTCTTTTTTATAGAAAGCATGTAAACCGCATTGTTGTTTGGATTACAATGATTAAATACAAAAACAATTCATTTACAGCCTATAAATCATTAGTTATACATAAAAGCACCTACAGAATTTTAAAAAACAAGATTCACAGTGCACTGCACTTTGGAACATATATGGCTGGAACATGAGAATATTTAAAATGAGAAATTTAAAGATCTATTTCTCTCAAACATAAAAATAATGAAGCTGTAACTACTCTTCTCAACTAGATTCTTAAAATGCAGCACTCAGCAGAAGCAAATTATTGCATATTCAGCATACTTCTTTATCATATGATTTCCTCAAACCATGCCAAAGTATTTTAAAGACAATCTAGTCTTGTGCTAAGCATGGCCTGTCTCAATATAACCTGAATACTGAAAAAGAGTAAAACAGATGTACATAAAACAGGTACATCCACTTAACATTTATTCTGCATAGTTAAGTCACGTCATACACACTTAACACGTTTAACTTCAACCTGTCAAGACGGTTAAAAGCCTAAAGTTATCATAACTGCATCCCAACCATAACTTTATTTTGTTCCACAGTGCATTAAATGAAGCAGCACAACAGTAATAACTATTGTAATTAAAAAGATAATTTGTTGGTTCTTGAAAATGCTCAACCATATTAGAAACCATACTACTTTCTGATAACTAATCTCTTTTGCTTTTTAGTATTAGGAGCTGAAAAGTCTAAAACTCCACAGGCACCAAAAAGACTGACCAAAAGTACTCATTTAAAAGAAAAAAAAAGTCACTTTAAAAATAATCCTAAAAATCAAATGGTTTCCAACAACAATACACAAGGAAAAATGATTCATCTGCTAGGTAAACTAAGATCTCATTCCCTTAACAACTTAACAGAAATCTGGAATGGTGGGACCAACTATAAATACGGCTCAGGGAGACCCAAGCCAAGCAACTGTATTTCTGAAAAGAACAAAAACTTTCAAATGCAATCATGTAATGCATTAAAAAGCACAGGTCACAGGATTCACAGATTAGCCATATAAAAGCTACAGGGTTATGAACAATGTATTCTAAACACACTGCTAAAATTATGAATTCTACTTAGCACCAAGAGTGACACTTTCAATAATAAATAAAATTCTCCTTTAAAATCAAGTCACTTAAAAGTTAAAGCAAAGTAGTAATACCAAGTGAATTCCTTACACTAGCCCTTCTTTTAGAAGTCCCATGGGGCTAAGCAGGCTACCTATATAAAGATTTCTACAGTAACATTTATAAGCAGATGCATTTTGTGGATACCACGTGTAACAGTTTTTAAAATTCACATACAGTTGCACACATACATCAAACACTTCACCCCTTCTCTCCCCCAAGAAATATCTTCAATGAGGTCAGATGCAGCCAAAAAAGTAACGCTTCCTTAAAGCTCTGGTGATTGTCCTTAATTATAACTGAAATCCTTCTTAAAATGGTCACTGCCATCTTTATTTGGACTTAAGAATCCTGAAGGCGCAAAATACATTCCCAGCACTAAGCTGTGTGTGTCACTTCCACCTTCTGGTCCAGCCCCGCCCCCAGAGAAAAGCTTTACGTGCACGTGGGTAAGTGCATACCCTCCCCTCTGACTCCATCAGCCGGGGCCTCAGTCTGCCAGGAAGAACTCGCATTCTCTACCACTACGGCAGACTGGAACCCAATAGAACATCGTTTTCTATAGATCAACACTAATATGCAATGTAAAGCCAGTAAGTCAGTTTTTCATACATATTTACACAAGTGGAGCATGTAAGACATCTTTCCCAAGAACAAAATCCTTGTACGATACCAAAGGATTGGAGGCGAGATGGTGAAGACATGACCTGCGGCAACTGCTGAGTCCTGCCTCGTGCTCTCTGCTTCAGCACTCACAGGTTCACTGACTGCATGCAACACAATTCAGTTACAGCACCAACTCCAGAGCAACGTGATCCCTCTCAGGCTTCCGGTTCTGTGTTTACGAAGTACCAAGAGTTCATTTTCCACATGAATATATTACAGATGCTGACTCTAAATAAATCCTTTTAGCAAAATTCCAAGCTAGAGTACCAGAGCCTCAGCAGTTAGATGCAAAGAAATAAGTAAAATGCCACCCAAACAGATGAGCTGCAATCTTGATGTGTGTGACGTTTTAGTGCTTATGTTCATTTACTAATTGGATTCTTTAAGTTTCCTTTTGAAATTTCATGTAAGTAAACTGTTATTGCAATCACTGTACTGGATAAATGAACCTTCTCATTAACTTGGCTACTTACTGATGACTCAAATGTGATTTTCTTGATGAGAACACAAAGTAACACCAATAGTCACACAGAATAAATGCCCTCAAAAAAATAAGCAACTTAAAACTTGTTCCAAACACTGAAAGGTAAAACTGGATAAAGGGTTGTGACTACATTTACAGTGCAAACTCATTTCTCTTCTGGAAAAAAAAAAAAGAAAACGAAAAAAAGATTTCAAAAGCATTGCCTCCCTGCATTTCTTTAAAACACCTGAGAAAGGTAAGGCTTGAGGAGACACCCGCTCAAATGCAACAGGCCACTGCTCTTCAGGCTTCTGCAGTACATCTGTGCCATCAAAGGTCCAGGATTTTCATGATAGCATTGTGGTCAAACTTGAAACTCAAAAAAGCTCTAGACGAAAAGGGGAACTTGCAGTGTCCATTACATGCCACAGACTGTTCCTCGGGGTGTTCTAGCAACTGGTCTTCAATGGAGCAAGTCAAGTCATACACAGCATCTACCGAGAAAACAAAACCAATGTGTGCAGACACTTAGTAAGGACTCAAAATCCTTCACCTTGTGTGACTATAAAAATGCATAGAGTATACATTTATCTTTCCACAACTAACTCTAATCTAAGCAGAACCACCAAGATACTATCCTTTCCCTGAACTGGTACTCAACTGAGTTTCTGATCTATTATTGCTTAATTCTCTACCTAAACATTGAAAATCTTAACTTTAGCCTGTAAGATCCTTGACAATTCTTTGTCTTCAAAATGGGCATGATTTTACTTCTTACATTTATTTGCATTTTATGCCAAAATAATGGTAGATTCTTGCAAAGGTGAAAATGAAAGCATTGTGAAAACTACAATCACATATGAAGAACTGGAAAGATGGTAATTACAGAAAAACAAAACTGAAGTTTACCAAGTCTTCAATATATTATGTTGTAGCTTGGTCTAACTAATGCCATCTTGTGCCCTGTATTTGACCCAGAAGAGTGAAAAATTACTCAGGGTACAAGTCCCACGAGAAAAGCAGAATGAGCTGCTTCCCCATCAGAGAAAAATTAACCCGCTCAACCAAGAAGCAGGATACAGGTGTCAACCAAATTAACGTAAGTTTCTAGCTAAACTGTTTCCAACAGGATGTCTTGCTTTGTAGTTTTCTGCTTCAAATGCCCTGTAACCCTCCAGTTCAGGACCACTTGTTTTGACTCTGAAACGGGTCCATGGGTGATCACTGAGCTCAGCTAAAAAAAATTCCCAATTTTATCAGTTTGGCTGCTTGGATAACTATATCGTTTTACAAACCCACTTCAATCAAACCAAAGAAAAACTCAAATTTTCAAAATCACAGCACAACAAAAAACAGTCTGAGCTTTACTTATTTAGTCAATAGAAAGGAACTTGACAAGGAAAGCACGTTCAGAATGGACTCTAACAGGCAAATGCAAAAATAAAGTCTGAAATGAGGCTTTCCAAGAAAAGAGTCCTTTTACACTTTAAGAGATTCTGTTTAATAACAGATTTCTAATCATATGTTTTTTTGTTTGTTTGTTTGTTTGTTTTGTCTTTTTCATTTTTATCCGTACCAGGGATCTAACTCACAACTGCCTGCTTGCAAGGCAGGCACTTATGCCGCTGAGCTAAATCCCCAGCCCCTCTAATCATATGTTAATTAGATTTGGCAATCAGCTGATCATGTTTCCTATCACGAAGGTGGCCAGAAGAAATTCGATTAAAAGGATCTCTACCCTGATATATTCCCTTTGCTAAACTCTTAATGAGGGAAAGGATAGATTCTTCCATAGATGATGCTGACAAAATTGGGTATCAACATAGAAAAGAAACAGGAGCCTAATTTTATACCTTAAACAAAAATAAATTCAAAACCAAAGACTTAAATGGTAAAATCTGAAACTATACCACTTCTGTAAGTAGGGAGGAAAAAACTCCTTGAATACTGCTTTTAGCAATTGCTTTTTGTCACATGACACCAAAAGCAAAACTAAACAAGTGAGCCTATGTCAAGCTCAACTTTAATGACAATTTCTACTTCTTCAGTTAACATCTCATGACAGGTAAAGCATTTCTTTAAAAATAGCCTTTATCTGGCTTAAATTTCATACATTTTAAAACAAGAAACACATGCAACAGGCTTGAATTTAAACGATAAATAAATGCATAGCTATGGTGCAAAATTTCAAACCATTCAAATTAGCACGTAAGAGTATACTGGACTTTTTTTTTTTTAATTACTTTATTTGTTAATATTAAGAAGAAAAGGTAAAACAAATTTTCACAACAAAATAATGAAAAAGTAACAATTGTTGATAAATTACACATCATTATCTTTAGTCACTCAAGTACAAAATATGGGCATAAAAATTTCTTCAATCAATATTAGCACAACCTTTCCTATTCAGTGAACTAAGTGACACTAATGGTATAACTAACTTGCATTTTTTTCTTTTCCCTTCTATCCTTTCTCTTTTCCCCTATCTTAGTTTCTTCTTTTTATTGAACAGTTTCCTCCCATTTCACAGTGACTATTGTATATTTTGAACCTTATGGTTTCACATATGTCACTGTGGTGTGATGTTTTTCAATCCTTCTGGGAAGATGCACAGAAGGGGAATACCTGGGTTGAATGGGACCAAAGATAGAGAAAATGCAAGTGTCACCGTAACAAAAGTTATCCCTGGTATCACCTTAACAAGTTGCTCTCATTACCTCCATAATCAAATAAGATCAAGTTTTCTTCTAAATTCAGTGCTTGCTTCCATACATATGAAAATGACGTCTCCTCATTTTTACAATACTTGGTTCTTTGTACTCTCCGTAAACTAGCAATGGCAAACCTTTTAGAAATGAATGCCCAAACTGCAACCCAAAATCCACTTATTTATCTCAAAGTGTAATTGAACCCAAATACTTAAGTTTTAAATCAGAAAAAAAAAAAGAAAAAACCAACTCACATGCTAGTATCTTCTAATCTTAAAAAGAAAAACAAGTAACACATCACAGGTTCACCACCATTGCCCAAATCCATATAAAATTTTTTACAATATTCATGCATAGCACCAAGGTTTGACATTCACAAAAGAAATAGCACACAGAGCAATAATGCCTTCTTGATCTTTTAAATTAATTCATTTTAACCAGCTGCATGTTTCTGCACACAGATGAACTCTTTACGAAACAGATGTAACTCTTCTTGAGTAACTATCACAGTTCACAACAAACCGTGCTAAAGTCAGTGTTAGGTAACCAAATCAAATCCCACGCAAGAGACAAAATACAAATGAACTTGCCTGCTTCAAAGTTATCCTGAAGTTTTCGTGGATGCAGTTTCTTTTCACATTTCTATTTGAAAACACACACAACAGCCTCTGGTTACTTTCACTTATTAAAAAAAATCAGAAGATATATTACCAATTTCTTAAGAAAAAAACAAGAATAAAAATCACTATTTCTATTGTTTCACTGGTTTTTCTTTTTTGAAGCCTAAACTATTTTGATTCTGATTAAATATAGAAGCACCAAGGGGAAAAAAACTTATTCATTACATTTCTCAACCCATAGATAATTACTATCAATACTACAATGTTTAGTTTTGCAATGAAGGCATGTATGATTATAGTTTCATAAAACTGTACAGCTTTGAAATGGAATTAAAAAGTATATACCATTGTTCTATAGTTTTTCTTGGTTTTTACAGTACTGGAGATCAAATCCAGGGCCTCCCACACGTTAAGGAAGAGCTCTACCATCAAGCTACATCTTTACCAGTTCTATAACCTTTATAAATGCTAATAGATTTTGAATGAAATACTTTTTTAATAAATGCAACCTACACTGTCATTTTTACTGACTTAATGATAGTATGGTAATGTTGTTGCATAGATCTACAACACTGCTTTTATTAACATTCTTTTGGATAGAGTATTTTCATTATTATGGACAGTCACTATTCTTTGAATTCCTCTTCCAAGAAAATGAGATAAGCAGTTTTTGAGATTTTTGATGTAGCTAGCTCTTCTCTAGACAGCAGTATCAATTGGTAATTATCATTTGCCACTATGTGCAATAATACTGCACAATCTTTTTATATTTGTCTATTTGATGAGGAGTGTATACTATTTAAGTGTATCTAATTATTCTAACATTGAGTACACATATTGTTTATTACTTTTTATACATTAGGTCACTTATTCATTTATAAACTTTTAATATACTTTTTTAAAAAACTTTTAGAAATCTAACACGAGTTTTTCTAGACAAAAGTTGTGAAGTTTCTCCAAAATCCTTGGGAATGTTGAGTTAAATTTACACACTAATTTGAGATTAACATGTGTTACAATATTATCACTAAGAAACTATTTCTCTAGCTTTTGTTAGAAACAGGTTCAATTTTACGAGAAGACTTAAGATTGCTCTCTTTAATACTTTTATCAGAGTACTGTGAAATAAAAGGATATATACTAACATATAATGGGTAGAATCGTTATACCTCAAACTAAGTCAATACCACCCATGGAATTCACAAAGTCTGAGGTTACTGTTATTGTCTACTTTTTAAAGAAATGAAACAAAAATGAATGAAATATCAATAGAAAATATAACACATAAACATTAGTATTTGTAAAAGACCTAAATGAGGACAATACTAGCCTCTTATTATTTTCTAGTGCACATACTACATACAATAATGAAAGAAAGCGCTGTAAAATGTCCATAGTGATGTAGTTAGACCTAGTGTAATGGCGATACTGACCATGAGTGCTTTATTTTTAATCAACTTAAATAAAAAAGTGTTCTCTCAAATTTTCCACTTAAGATAATGGCTACAGAAAAGTTGACCTAGTAGTTCAGAATAGAACGGTGGTTGGTAGAGGCTGTGGGAAGCAAGGGGAATGGTAGGAGACTGATCCACAGGTGCCTCGTTACAGCTGCACGGAAATGAACTCAAGCATATGAACAGTAGCACCGCAGACTCAAAGTGATGAAAATATAATAGAATGTCAAAACCAGAAGGGATGTGTTTTCTACTCAAAATGTAAATAGTCATATAAAAAGGAAAACTTAGATGTGTAACTGAGTGAATGTTACAAACTTGTAATTAGAGAGGCCAAAGAGAGATTTTTAGTGAGTGAACATAACAGAGCATAATTTAGTTCCATTAAAAATTCGGTCACTGCATTATTTAAAACAAGATAACACCCAAAACATTAATGTGCTGGACAATGACCTTGCTCCACTTTGAAAAGGAAGAACTGCCTGCCTGGTACCGGAGACAGACCTACCGTCAGCGGGTTCTGCTGCTTCGCTGGCTGGCTGTGAATCCCATTTGCTCTTTTCTTTTGGCCAGGTGAATCTTGGTACTGTTTTCTGCCATTTCCCCTCATATTCTGATTCTGTTTTCCCAGTAAAAAATAAAATATAAATCACAGTACAAGGTAAGACACAAGAATATACCTCAAAAATGTTTACATTTTTCAATGTTTGTAAATGTAGACATTTATAACGTTTCAGAAAAGTCAAGAAAATTTTCATAAATTACCACATCAATGTACCTCCTTATAGAAGACAGTGCTTAAGAAAGGAAGATTCCTCTAATGATACAAAGTAGCACACATGGTTCCTAGGAATCTTCACACCTCTTGTCTTATTCCCATTTCTACATACAGCTTTTATTTATAATGCATAAACAGGCTGAAGAGTATCATAATGACAGTGCTTGTGCTCACAATGTACAAGGCCCTGGGTTCAACTGCAAACACACATACATATACACATACAGAAATAAGAGATAAAAAACATTTAAAAAATGGAGGTATGGAAAAATGAGTTCTGAAAATGCTATGTGATGATCAAAGGGGAACTCTGTAAAGAAAGCTGAGACACAGTAAGTACAGTTCTTAGGGCAAAAAAAATAGGTAATAGATGTGATCAATTATTACCCCAAAAAATCTACTTCAAATTATTAGTAAACACATAAGCATTATTGAATAATCTTATTTTATAATGAATGAAGACTGATATTTTAAAATTTTGAACCACTATTCTTGAGTTTGATAGAAAACCTAGCCATGCAGCATGGTTTAACTGATTTAACCTGAGTTTAAAAAAAAAAAAAAAAATCTAAGTTTAACTTAAAACATTTTTTTAATTTATGAAGAGAAAAATCTTTGACTCAAAATACTTTTTAAACATTTGTAGCTCAAGATCTTGAAAAGACATCTATTTAAGAGACTGACTCTAGCTGGGTATGGTATGGGCACATGGGTATGGGCACACAGCTATAATCCCAAATTCCAGCACTGTGGAAGGCTGAGGCAGGAGGAACCCAAGTTCAAGCACAGCCTTGGCAACTAAAAGCAAGACTCTTTCTCAAAATTTGAAAAACAGAAAAGGGCTGGGGAGGTAGCTCAATGTGAAGGTCCTGGGTTCAATTCCCAGTACTATGACCAATCAATATATTTAAAAGTTAAACATATTAAAAAGGATTATCTGAATAAACACTGATTTTTAAAATACATAAAAATATTTACAATACTAAAAATACCTAAAATAAATGAGGTTAGAGTAATAATTGCTTTCAAAAATTCATGTCACCACTCTTTTAATTCACTATCGTTCTGCTCTTTCTGGTGTTTCATGGTGGTGTCAACGTATGCAAGATACGTCACTCTGATAATACCCTGATGTATGTAATTCAACCTCATTAGACACCATGTGCAGTACCACCATTCATTTCCCAAACCTTTTCATCATCAGAAACAGACCCCCTCCTCCAGCCCTCAACATCTCTATAAATTCTCCTATACCATAAAGTGAAAGCACATATTATCTTTATGTCACACAGATAATATCCTCAAGTTTCACCTGTACTTTAGAATGTCTCAGAACTAAAATGAGTCCACTGCACATATACGCCTCATTTTATCTATTCATCTACTGACAGACAAGTGGATTGTTTCTGCCTTTTGGGTAATATGAATAATCCCACTAACAAATTAGTATTTAAGGCTGTTTAAACTCCTGCTCTCAGTTCCTATGGATGTTATCTAGGGAACTGCTCAGTCACATGCTAATTACAGTTCTGATTTTGGAGAGTCTGTAAATTGCTTTCCACAGCTGCCACACATTTTACCTGCCCTCCAGCAGTGCACAAGGATTACTGATGTCCTAACACATGAGCAGAATTTGTGGTTTAGATTTGCATTCCCCTAGTAGTGAAGGATGCTGAACATCCTTTTTGTACGTATTGGTCATCTGAATATTTTCTTTTGAGGAGTATCTATTTGTGTCATTTATCCATTTTTCAATGGGGATGTAATTTTATTGTTGAGTTGAAGGAATTAATATACTCTGGATTTTAAGCCCTTATCAGACACATGGTTTGGGATACATCTTATTCTCTCCCTTTTGTAGGCTGTCTTTTCACTCTCTTGCTAATGTCCTCTGAAACACAAAGATCTTTAATTTTGACAAACTCTGTGTGTGTGTTCCTTGAGGACAGGGTCTTGCTTTGAATGTGTGACACTCCTACTTCTACCTCCCGGGCAGTGTGTGGGATTAAAAGTATGTGCCACCACGCCCAGTTTAAACTGTATGTTTTAAAAACTAAAAGAGTGGCAATTTGAAAGCCTACATTGTTATTGCTTTGGGTTTTTTGTTATTGTTGTTTGTTTCTTGTATTTTTTTGGTTTTGTTTTTCTGTCTTTAAAATAAAAAAAAAAGTGTGGCAAAGCAATGGGTAACTGAAATTTTAAAAGTACAGATAAAAACAAATACTGGCAAGAAGAAAACAAACTTTCAAGGCAGGGAGGAAAGGACTGGGGCATGAACCCAGATCTTTCACACTAAATCCCCAACTCTTTTTTGTTTTCTGTTTCAAACTGTGTTTCACTAGGTTACTAAATTGCCCAGGATTGGCCTCAACTTTCAACCACCCTCCTTTGGTTTCCTAGGGTGCTGGAATTACAGATGTGCGGCACTGCACCTGGCTAGAACTCTCATATCTTGCTAAAAATATACATTATTTGAGAAAACTGTTACAAGTATGTACTCAAGAAGGCAAGCAACCAACTGGGAGATACCAAATTTCTATCAAGATGAGAATGGATAAATTGTAGAATCATCATCTACTACAAGGCTGAAAATGAAATTTTATAATACACTGTTAATAAGAAATTCTCCAACTGAAAAAGACAGATGACGTAGCCAACCATGGTGACAGACGCCAGTAATCCCAGCACTCGAGAGGCTGAGACAGGAAGACAGCCACAAGTTTGAGGTCAACCTGAACCACACAGCAAGACTCTGCTCAAAAAATAAAACAACAAAAACAAAAAACAAATGATCTAAATTTCTGAAAAATTTTAAAGTGTATCACTTACCTTTGCTTTTAGAAAGTCAGATACTTCAGAATGGTTACTGTATGGTTTTTGCTGCGCTGGCTGCCTGTGCTTCACCCACTGGTCTCCAGGAGAACCTTCAGGAAATAACTGGTGGCTGTGGCGGAATTTGGTTCGACTACACCAAAATTTAAAACAAAAATCAGATGAGAAAATGTTCAAGTAGACTTCTTTAAACACTCGTAACAGTTTAATTTACAAACTATGTATCTTATTATTGTCTCTCTTAAGACTTAACTCTTAAGTCCCATGGTGGTAGGGCAGAGATTCTTAATTATTTTGCCTACCATTTTATGTCCAGCATCTGGAAGAATGACAAATACTGAATATATACTTTTTTCCTCACAGTCCTAAGGATTGAAACCAGGGCCATGAACATGCTGGGCAAAGCTCTACCTCTAAGCTGCAACTCCAGTCCAACTATTTCCCTAATGAATAATCTGTTATATTATTTTCATCCCAAACATTACAAAATTATCCGTATCGTTTCCTTTCTATGAGTGATTATATTCTTCAATATTTGAGGAAAATAACTCTTTCTAAATTTACTTGAGACAAAGGAATTTTGTTTCAAGACCTTTCTTCTTAATATAGCATACAATTCATATATTTTTAAAAGCATGTTTCAAGTATGGATCTTCCATAGGTCGGTTATGGGTCCTACCTATCTTACAAGAAAACATGAGAAATTAAGCAACTTTCTAAAGCAACAACTAAGAGCACAAGACAATGGATACTATAATAAAGACACAGTCTTCAATTGTTATGCAAAAGAATCTAATTATAAAAGGTTACAGTCACACAGTAGTTTGTCATGTAAGAAGTGTCATCATGTAGTACAATGTATCTGTATAGTACAGCCCACAGCCACTGATCTCAAAAAACACATTATCTTCTTGCCCTTCCCCATGTAAAACCCACATAAAATTTCAGTCTTTCTGTCCTTTTAGACAAAATTGAGACATTTTCTCCAACACATCACCACAGAGATTAGTATGCCTACTAACCATAAATATGACATCTATATGAAACCTGTTTTACTGTCTCCTTATCCATGAACAAGAACAGAAGCCCTGGGACTGAAAGGTAAAGGAATGATACTGCCCATTACAGTGCCTAGATTCTCCTAACGATGAACATTCGCATATTTTTTTTTCCAAACATAGTCACCATTTCCTAACTCTTTGGCAGCACTCCTGTCTACCTTGTTTATTCTATACTGTTTATTTCTAGCAGAATATAACTTGGTAATTATAATCAATTTTCAAAGGCAGAAACTATTCTACAGCATTTAGTTCAAGCTCTTGAACTAATAAAACCCAACTAAAATGGAATACTATCTATAATAAAATAAATATTAACTATAGATGTGATTTATTATTCTTAATTTTTCAATCTCTTTACCAAAAACAGAACATCTATATTAGAGAAAATGTAAAATAGAGATAAACTTTTTTTTGAATTTCACTAAGGCAGGTTTATAGCAAGCAGATTACAAAAGTACATGTATTTAATGAAGATCCACACTCTAACTGTAATTTGGAAACAATCTGGTTCAAACCAAGAAAAAATTATTCAACGTCACATCCATATAGTAGTCACTCTTCATAATATAGCTAATAAGAAAAAAAAAAATCCAAGCCTAAGTCTTCACAGCTGACTTGAACAAATTAACCAATCAGCATCTCTGGTCTCCCCCACACAGACACAAATCTCAACACACTTCAGAGACTCAATTCTCTGAAGAACAGGGGGAAAAAAAAACACTACAAAAATACAAGTTTATTTTTTTCTTTTCCTAGTATTCTACCCATCTATAGTTGCTATCCTTCTGAGTACATTATTTGACAAAGGGCTCAAAAAACACTGGAGCAAAGATAGCCTGTTAAAACACGAACACTTAACCTGCAGTAGAATAGGTAAAATTTCTAAACTCACAGGTGTAGGACAGCTTTCTGAACAGAACTCCACTTGCACAGAAAACAGTATGCAAAATAAGAACTGAGATCACATTAAAAAGCTATACAGCAAAGAAACAACCAACAGATTGAAGAAAGAACCCAAAGAATGGAAAAAAATTGTGCCAGGTACTCCTCAGAGGACCAATATCCAGAATATACAAAGAGCTCAAAAAAAAATTAGATCACTGCATAAAAGACCAAATTAAAAAATAGGCATCTAAAATAAATATACAACTCACAGAAGAAATACAAATGACCAATAACTTTTGAGAAAGGCTCAACATCACCAGCCATTAGAGAAATGCAAATTAAAACATCAAGATTCCACCTTACCCCATACACAACGGCCATCATCAAAACCTCAAATAACAAATGCTGGCAAGGCTGCAGGAGAAAAGCAGTGCTGCTTCATTGTTGGTGGGAAGATAAACAACTATGAAAACTAGTATAGGGATTCCTCAAAGAACTAAAAATTAGAAATTCCATTTGACCCAACTGTTTCCCTTTAAGGTATTTTCCCAAGAATTAAAGCCGTCCTGTTACAGCAATACAGGTTTCCAGAAGCACAGTTCCTAATGGCTGACTCTCAGAAGCAGTCCGTATGACCACCAACAGATGAATGGATAAGGAAAATGCTGTTTACACGTAATGCTGTGCTGCTTGGCCATAAAGACAGACTTGGGTCCTTTGTCAGAAAATGAATGCACCTTGAAACCTATAATATTAGTGAAATAAATGACCCACCTAACCCTAAAAATCACAACATTTCTAAGGGAAACCCAAAACATAAATAAAAAGCAAAATAAAATGGATAACAGAAAGGAGATACATGTTCTCAAATAGAAAGGGGATCAACAATGGAGGGAAGAGGGAGGGAGGGAGGGAAAGGGTGTGGAACAAAGGAAGTGGCAGGTGTTATGTACGTCCTCAAGTCCTCATAGGGACTGTAAACATTACATGCTACGAACATAAATAAATAAAAGATGCCTGAAGCTTCTACCCAACTCTTTTCCAATTAACCTTTCTCATGTCACTCAAAATCCCTTTAAAACAGTGAGACCAGTAACAAAACAGTATCTATAAGAAATCTTACATCTCTATTAACTTCAGAAGCAAAATGCTTCTGTACTAAAAACTACCAAAGACGGAAAGAGATATATATACACATTTATAGTAAAAACATGTGAGTATAAATTACTTTTATTTACCTCAATTTTTCCACAGTGGGTTTAGCTGGTGTGCTACCAGTTGAGGAAAATCCATTGTCACTGTCTGAGGAATCCCCAAACCTTCGAGAAAGCCAGTCCTTTAATGGTCTATGGAAACATGGAAAATTCACATTTAAAATGTAAAATATCAGAACATGAAGGTTTTATATTTCAAAAAAATATATAAGGTATATTCAAGAAATATACCTGATAAAGGGAATGGCCATAAAAAATTTGTTAGGTGCCAAACCAAGTTTGGATTTTGGGGTCATATCATTTCTGTGACAGGGTAATTTCTCAATGGAGAACCATTCAATGTTCTGAAACACAGGAAAAAAGATAATTATTTAATTATTATGGAAGAGTTTGAAAACAGAATTTTCAACTCAATTTTAATTCTATTTGGACACTGTCCAGCCACTTGCAGATACTCTCAACTGTTACATACCCGAATTTCCCTTCTGGTTTTTGGGTTAAATTTTGTGTCTTTTGGAATTCCTGGAATGATATACAAACGAGCAAGTTGGTCGTTGATTCGCAGTTCAATGTAATCATCCTTACAAATATAGTCTTTGATATCAAAACCAGTTTCTTCAAAGACCTAGAAATAAATTTGGATGGAATTTCTAATTTTAATGATTAGACCGTGGTGCATTAAAATGTTTATTTCAAAAACAAAATTCAGAAAGTCAGGTAATTAAAGGCACGAAAACACTGAGAAGGGAGCCAGATGATGCAGTCTGGCTCTGCCATGCTTTTAACTGTCTGACTACAGAAAAACTTATTTCCATTTCTGAGCTAAAGTTTCCCCAGCACATAGTAAAGGAAGGCAGATGTCAGAATACATTAGTGGCTCGCAGTACAGGGAAGTACATACTGAGGACCACATACAGATTCTTTTCAGAGCCCGCAAATCTAAGAGTAAAGCAAGATATAGATTAAAAATTGTCTTACACATATACGGTTTTTTTCCAACATGAAAATTGAATTGTGATAAGAATTCATTGAAGTGAACAGATTCCAAAAGTACTGCTATAATCACTCAACCACTTCGGTGTGAGGAAGATGGAAACATAAATTCACAAGCAGAAGGAATCGAGAGAGATACAGACATGCTCTTTAAGGAGAAAAGTTGAAAGATGTATATGGTAACTGACGAAAGGGGATAGACAAACAGAACTGGATTGATGGTTTTAAAACTGCTTTCTCTTGGCTATGCTGCAAGGACTGGGGGAGTAGAACAAGGTGGGACGAGAACAGAGCTCTCTGGGATTAATATGACATCTAACCCTCAGCTTTTCCCTTCAACCAGGAGTCCGTACTGGACCTCTACTTAAAGTAAAAAACCACTAGTGTACACTAGCTTTAAAATTCTCCTTCTACTAATACTCATATGTCTTTCTCTACCCCGCTTCCAAAATCTTGGTGGCTAGAAGCTACTGAGGACCTTTGATGATTGAAAACATCTAATTTCAATACTTCCTAACTGTGCAACAGAATACTTCTAAACACACACAGGCTAGACCTCTTTTCAAAATACACGGAAACTTTATTCTACCCATTCTTTTTGTACCTCCTCCCATACATTTACTACTTGTTGCAATGCCACACTTAAAGAACATATGTGATTTTTTAAAAAAAAAGTTATTCTGTCCCTTGCTTCTCTAAAATCCACAAGTGGTATCACAGGTGTACACACAGTTCTGTTAAACTGACTGCTGACATCCAAGTATACCAAAATGATACATCTTTCCCAGAATACAATTCAGAAGCCTCAGTGACTCTGTAAAGGTTTTATGGCTTCCCACTTTCCCAAATCTTGACATTTGTATACTTAAAACAATACAATTAAGCCATCAACCATGGAGATTTCATGGTTCATAAATGCTGCCTCAGCATTCCCACTGAAACAAAAGAGCAGTAAGATGCTCTGTGGGTTTCTCCTCCTTTTCTTTCAAAGGAAGGTCTAATCTAATATGTGAGACAGCTTAAAAAATTGGTTTTTGTTTGTCTGTTTATCTGTGTATTTTGCATGACACTAGGTATGGAATCCAGGGCCTTTCCACTGCCCAATACCCCTAATACAGTCCATTTTTAAATTCTGAGACAGGGCCTCAATAAATTGTCCAGGCGGGGCTAGAACTGCAATCTTTTGATCACTTCCCAGAATGAATAAACCACCACATACACATTTTGACATTGGGTTTGGGGTGAGTTTCAGTGTAGCTGAGTGATAAAGCATACATCAAGCATGCACAAGGTCCTAGGTTTTAATTTTAGTGCCAAAAACAAAACAAAAAAGTCCCCATACATACAATTACATATTGATTTAATTGGTAAACCGATCCTGATGGATTAGCTATACTATCATAACTGTCTGTTTTATTTTAAAAGTTCACCTATCAAGGATCATAAAACTTTCTCAGGAATAAATACATAAGCCAGAAGGCACTCCCACGATCTATATTCAGAACACACTAAAAGCTCACATTTCAGTAAGGCAAACAACCTTACAGTTAAGACAACATGATTAATGTATAAATGGGTACTTAATGAAGGAGCCTCCCTACAGCCCAATGAAAACATTACAAGGTGCTCAATATCCTTATACCTAGGAAAATACAAATTAATGCCACAATGATACGGCACTACAAAACTCTCCATGTGATGTGATGTGCAGGGTAGGACAGAGCGCAACTAAAACTGTTATATACTATGATAAAACATACAGTGAATGTTTAAGTTGTAAACATTATAAAGAAAAAACATTATAAAAGAAACATTGTCAGTAATTACCCTCAAAATACAGTACTCCTCACTGCAAACACTTATCCCATTGTTCTGGTCACTTTCTAAATCATTTGTAGAACTCTCTTTTGTTCTTTAGTTGCACTGTCATGGCTTCCTCCGTGTTCTGAATGAATGCAAAACATTTATGGCAATTTTTGTCAAATAAAAACCTTGCAGAGTATCCTCAGTCACCAGATCTGGTACCATGCGATCTCTGGTTCTTTTCCAAGTCAAAATGACCCAGGGCAGGTAAATGCTTTCAACTGATTAAGGACACTGAGGCAGTTATGATAGCACACCTAAAGGCACTAACAAAAGAGAACTTCCAGAACTGCTTTACAAGAATGATGGGGTGTGTGCTTCAAACAAGGGAAAGCGTGGGGGTTGTGGGTGGTGTTATGGCAGTTATTTCTCCTGTAGTACACATTTTTTTTTTGTCTTTTTCCTTGTTATCGGTACTGAGGATTGAACTCATGACTGCTTGCCTGCAAGGCAGGCGCTTATACCGCTGAGCTAAATCTCCAGTCCCCTGTAGTACACTTTTTAAGTTTACTGCTCTGTGACATTGAGTATATTGCTATTAGGAACGTAATTTTGTAATTTGCTACAACCACTATGAATATGTGGCTCCAGAAGTCCAGTCTTCTTTTTCACTCGAGATGGGGTTTCACTATGCAGTTCAGGCTGACCCTGAAGTCACGATGTAGCCCAGACTAGCCTCAAACTCACAGCAATCCTCCTATCTCAGCCTCCCAAATGCTGGAATTACAGGTGTGCGCCACCATACCTGACTAGCAAATCTAATTTTAAGCAATTAAGGGCTTACTTCCTTCAAAGGACATTTATAAAAATACTCACAGCAGGTTTTATTCATCATAGCAAAAACAGGGTACACAATACACAAGAATGGACAAAGAACTGTGATATTTGTATATTAGAGTATTACTGAAAAAAAAAAAAAACCCAAGTATTGACAATGTAACAACATAAACAAAAACCATTGGAATTACTTAGCCAAAGAAGTCAAATATAAGGAGTACTCACTACAAAATTCTTACTGTATGAAGCTCAGGGAAAAAGCAAAACTAATCAATGGCAGTAAAAGTCATTAAATGTATGGTTTCTGTTTTCTCCTAAGGCACTGTTCCTTTGATCCTACAGATTCCCAGCAAGTAACTAAAAGCAGTACGCTTCACTTTACATCTATTCTCTTATCTTAAAACTTTAGGTCAGATTCTTGAAAGGGTTGCTGGCCCAGGCCGGATACTGTAGCCAGCAAAGCCAAGGAGCTCCTATCTCCCCCCACCCTTAGAAATTACCTCTGGCGCCAACTAAGACCAATGGGCTACCTGTGCATCCCTAATGCCCCTTAGGGTCCACCCCAGGCCAAGGCTACTTATGTGCCTCACTCTACATGTTCCACGGAGAGATTGCCGGCCTGGGGTGGAGATGCCACGCCCCAGGGGGTCGGGGGTGTCTCTCCCCGCATTCCCAAAATAAAGGTTACTTATATTTTATACTTCTTATCTTTTCAGCCGCCGCCAGTCCTCCTCCTCTTCCTCCCCTTCACAGTTCTATCAATTCTCACTCAGCTTTGCACATAGGCATGCAAATATTTAGGGAGTACTGTCTCTGTCTAAAACCTGGCAAAATAGTTAATTAGCTCTAAATATACATAACCCATCTCATTCCCCTTCCAAAATGGAGGACATCAGAAGAGATTTAGACACTCAACTACCAATGAGTGCCCAGAAATCTCCAGTTTGTGCTCTAAACCTAAGGTCATCTTAGATTCCAGCAGAGCTTACATGAAACCGAGAATGCCCCAAACAGAAACACTTCTCTCAGGGAAAATAAATTGTACCCTCAAACAATTAGGACTTGTCCCAGAGTTGTTCTGCAAAACCAAAACTGAGAAAATGTTCAGGACCACTCTGGCCCACCTCAACCAATCCATAAACACCAATCTTCTTTTATGAATGTGACACATCTTCATCTGAGATGTGACTCTTTCAAGTCCTCAAGCTGAAGTTCCTTTCCAATTTTCTCTTGCTGCTTAACTCTAAGAAATTTAACTATGCCTCACATAATGTGCCCTGAAGTTTCTTCTGTGATGCAAGTTGAGGTCCTATCTCTTCATTGGGGAACTTCCTCAGGTTCTGACCAGTGACAGTTTCACATATATGATAAACTATTCAGTCCATATTAGTGTACTTTATGTATTTTAGTGTCAACGAAAAGGGTTTAAAGATAATGTAAGGGTCTAATTTTCTACTTTTACATTTACTATTAAGGATATTACAAAGGGTTCAGATGAAGAGATGCATAGGGGAGGTATGAGAGAATGGCACAAAGCTGCCATGGTCTCTCTAAGTACCTCTGCTCATTCAAAGTTCCAATTTGCATCCTTACATCTCTTTGTTGAATTTATCAGAAATAATTAAACGGTCACATAAATCTGTACAATTAGAAACTACATTAAACTACAGTTAATAATTAGAAACTACAGTAAATTGCATAATCTAAATTCCTTGTGGGCAGAGCCTTTTTAACTTTGTGTTACAAATAGTGTCTAATAATACATGATTAATAAAAAAGTACTGCAGAAAGACTGAGGAACTGTTTCAGATTAAAGAAAACTAAAGAGCTCTGTAAATTAAATGCAAATGTAATAAATGAGCCTGAACAGGATTCTAGATGGGCGAGAGGTGGGGACTGCTAAAAGGATCACAGTGAGTAATTACTGAATCTGAATATGAACTATCCAGACAGCAGCACCATATCACTGGCACATTTTTTAATTTGATAACT